CGCTCTCCTAACCTTATGAAACTCGAATAATGGCGCCTTCACTCAAAACTTCACACTATTTAAATCTTAATTTACGCCTATGGATATATGTTATTTGTTTACTTTTATTTCATGTAATCAACAAAAAAAAATTAAAAAATGACAAGGCCAATAATGGTCAGCTCGACATAATTTTATACGACTAAATTTTTTCGATCTTGCTATTTCTCTTGTTCGAGTATCCACGAGAAAAATACTGATACAAATTAAATTTTTTAGAAGAGATTAAGATTAACGTGGCTCGTTGCCACTTTAGGTGGTTACCTAACAATATTTTTTTGGGATTTCAACAGACTGAAAATTAGTATCTACGCATCCCATTTGTATTATATGTAAACACCTAACTTGTGAAAGACAGTATTACCCATCGAGTGAGCTAACAACATTGTGTCAATCATTAAATATTGTGATTAGAAGTCTTATCATGTTAGAAATTAGGAGTGCTAACATTAAATATGCTACACTTGTAATTTTAAACTACAAGTGTAGCATATTTAGTTTTGTGTTTATCTCACATCGTGTTGTTACTGTATATATATCGTGTGTTATTTATAACACTTTCTTATTGTTTTTCTTCTTTTTTACCTTTTCTTCCTTTTTCTGTCTCATTTTCCATTACTTTGGATATCCTGTTAGATCATTAGAGGAAAGAATAGCAGTGTCATTAATTGTTTTATGAATTCAAATTCGCTGTACCTAACGGTCCTGATCTTTTTTCTTAAACTAAATATTATTATTATTTTGGAAAAAAAGTATACATCCGCCTTAATTGGCCTGAATTTATTTGGTTGACATTAAAACATTAAGTTGGTAAAAAAAATTCATTAATTTCACTTAAAATAAATAAATTTTTAAATTGTCTATGATAGAATATATAACATTGAATTAAAGGTCTGCACCGTATACATACATAATACACACAAATATAACGGTAAGTTTTTCTAACTAGGATCAAAGGTCAATTTTATAATTCTCTTTATGTAATTAACACTTTCAACCTACCACTATTATATATTTTTTTAAAAATTTTAAATCCATTAATTTTCCCATTTGTTTTTTTGTCGTTATGCAAATATGAACCCACTTTTCCGTATTCAGAGAATATAATAGTTTTATTTTTGAAGAATTCATAAATATTTTATTAATTTTAAATATGACATTAACTAATTCAATAATTATAAAGCTATAGTAATAATATAATTTTTTATTCATATAAACATTAAAATTGTTGCTCCTCTATATACAATTAGCATTAATTTATAATAACATATTAATATATACAAAGTTAAATGATAATTTTATTGATCCGATTTAATACATAATTTTAAATTTGAGTTTCAATAATTATAACTATGTTAAATATTTAAAAGAAAAATTTTATCACCTATAAAATTCTATATAGTTCAAATATAATTGTCTCCTCCTCCGGGTAGATAATATTTATATTCTAAACCAAAAGTAATAATTTTATTGTTACTTATAATGTTTAATTGATATTTGTTTTTCCTTAAGTGTGCCCATGAATACGTTATAATATATGCAAAGTGTACCTATTACCATTCCATCGTAAATAAATGAAATTCCATGATTATTTATGTATGTTTAGACTAATTTATTTTGAAATTAAAAAAATATATCTATGATTACTTATAGAATTTAATTGAAACATATTAAATGTGTAATTTTTTATATATATTTATTTTTTTATAATTTGTCATATAATTAAAATTTATTAACTTTTATAATAATCATATTAAAAGTCACATATAACGTATTTTTTAATTAACAGTTTAAAAATTTTTATACTAGAAATATCAAGCCTCAACTCTTATTTGTATTATTTTTATATTAGTTTATTTTTAAAAATCTATGAATATATTTCGTCTATCAAGCAACAAGAAAATTTATTTTAAAAAAAATGACAACTTTTTGTTCTAAAAAAGAAATTCCCGTCGTTCAGCCTCACTCGAGCAGGATGAGATCTGAACCATCTTCACTATGCATAGAACCATTCAGTTTTACTTTAATGAAAAAGCAAGTTTCTTTAAGCAGGTTCTATTAGCTTAAGCGAAAATCGCTAAAAAAGTCATCGTCATGCTCTGTCACTGTAATGTTGTCTCGGTGGGTCAAACTCAGAGAAATGTAACCTTACCATATGAACACAGTCCACTTCAAACTCCCCATTTACAATATAATTGCCTGTGGCATGCATCCCATTGGCTACTCCGGCGCAATGTAATTATCTAGATCAAAACCAACTCACATGCTTTTTGGATATTTTCCCAATTCCGGAACATACTAATATCTTCACTTAGTGGAATCCACATTCTACCAACATCGACTCTGTAATGCATTCCAGAGCTTTGCACTATAAAGTTAGAATTGGTTGTCATGATCCATGGACTTGAAATGAGTACGATATGGTGGGATCACTGCAGCAGAGGAAGGGAGGCATAGACACAACCTCGATCCCGTTCACAAATACACACGCATTTGAGTCTTTTCCTCGCTGATACAGAATTCTCTGAATGTGTCATCGTCGTTGACAACCCAAAGTGAAGGGTTGGAGTCTTTTCAAATGGTAAAGCTGCCTATGAAGTGAGTGACTGAAAAGGAACAGGTGAAATTGGAAGGAGAGATGTGTTCTGCATCAGCAAAATTAAAGCATTACGATGACTTTTCAGTAATTTTAAATTAAGCAAAAAAGCGGCTTTTTTTTAAAGTAAAATTAATTTAAACAAAAATAAAACTCAACTTTCCACAACCTAAGAGAATTTAGATCCATTGTGAATAACTTTCACCTCGAGTAGCATTTTAATCACCACAAGAAAAGCCACTGGCCTTCAACCTTAAATTAAATGCTAAGAGTATTATTATTGTTATTATTTATATTGTGTTGTTGTTATTGTCTCGATATCTCTGTTATCATGTTATTATTGTTACGTATATTTTAAATTGTATTTATGAAGTGTTTTAAATTTAACACTAATGAAAAGACAAGTCTATCATCTTCGAACAGGTTATGTGCGTATTAAGGAACATTTATTTAGTACTTTGAGAGGAGATATCTTATTGGATGGGATAGGAGACAAAAACAATGGAAGTGACCGATGGAATGAACATAGGTTTAATAAAAGTTGTCGAAGTGAATTAGTTATTTTTTCAAGTTGAACTTTTTTAATATTGTTATTGGTTACCGTTATCTTATTGTCAAATATAAAAAACATCTCATTCAAGGAAAAAGTAAGAAAAAAAAATCAAGTAAAGAGATAAGGTCAAAATATATGTAGAAATAAACTAATTATTCTCTTAAAATATAAAGATACTTGCTGTATCATGATCACCGTATTATATTGACTTATACAAATAAATGAGTAAAAAGATGAGAAACAAAGTATATATTTAAAAATAAAGTAATTGTTTCTTCAAAATATAAAGATATTTAGCATCGTAAGTATTATCACTGTAAATGTTATTATATTATCGTTACTTATATTTTTTTATACAGTTTAATTTAGTATCACAATAAATTAATTACTGAATTATTCACCTATATTTTTAATGAAATACCAAGAAAATATGCTATAATAGGTGAATTTTTTTTTAAAATAACGTGAGAAAACTATTATCACAATTACAGTTATTTTAATCGTGTTGATGTTATTAGCATTTCAAATTTCGTTAATAACGAAAAGTTACTAAAGTTCAAGAGGCACCTCTTTAACTATAGATCAGATTATGCATAACAAAATCGAAAATAACATTTTTGTTATAAATTAATTTTTATATCTAAAATATTTATAATTTATTTTTGTATATAAAATTTTTATTACGTTTTAATTCTTATATTTTGTAACAACATTAAAAAAATGTTAGAGCGACCAACTTTTTTAATGATATTTAATTAAGAGAAACTAAAGTGTAACAGAATATTTGTTTATAAATCAAAATATAAATATATATGTATATATTATCTGATAAATAAGTATTGAGTATAAAAATATGTTTTAACCTTAAAAAAGTAGTTAAATACAAAATAGTGTTTGTATTTAATATGTTTTTACTATAGTTTATTTTATGAAAATGCTCTATATTTTTATCTTTATATAAAAGAATATTTATAAATAATTTTAAATTTATATATATATATATATACACACACGTAAAGATTCTATCGGATTCAATTAGACTCTATTTCAAACTAAATTATATTTAAGGAAAAAAATTAAAGCAACTAAATATTTGATTGAATTTGAAAGCAGAGTTTATTGGAATTTCAAATTCAATAAAAGTAGATAAAAATTTCGTATCACTAGATTAATTAATAATAAACAAGTTCAGGAATGATATGTTAATAAAAAAACAAGAAATAAAAGTTTAGACATATATAGGAGGGGGGGAGAGGGAAAGAGACAAATAGATGGTTTGATTCACCCGTAACAGCCTAAACCAAATCCATCACTCTCTAAACTACAATTGAACTAGTTTAGTCGAAGATGCTGAACATCCTTTTCACTCACTAATCCGGGTTTAATTTAATCACAGAGTAATGTTAATAAATCAACGTTGAACGACGATGGCATTCATACTGGGGTTATATATATAGCCTCATCCTTTCAAATCCTTGACCATCAAGAACACAAAATCAATGGTCCGGTTGACCTAGCAACACACGGAAATCAATAATTAATCTTGAACACAGGGTAGAAAAGAATTAAAAATAAACGGCCATGATCGAATCAGAGGAAATCAGAGTGGAGAAGATGAACGGCAGAGATTGAGCTGAGTGGCACTTAAAAAAAAGCACGTATCACCCGGGAAAAAAGCAAAGAAGAAAAGAAAAGCACCTAGTGCGCACGTTAGCAAAGAGGCCAGAAGGCCAACCCGAACGTTAAAACCGCCTTCGTTTCTTCCTTCGTTCTTTCTCATTTCTTCATTTCCTTCACTTTGGCTGTATAAATTAAGAAGTTGCGTTTCCCGGCGAGTCTTGGAAACGAAACCAAAATCTTCCCTCAAAGTTTGCGTCTTTGGTGTGGGTTTTCCTCAGCCGGGGAAGCTCTCTCGGTTGGGTGGTGCTGAATTACTGGGCGCAGTTGCTGCTCCTTTTGCCGATCAATGGTCTTTACGGGTTTGGGAGAAGAAGAGAGCATGGCTTTAGGACTTGAGAGATCGAAGCCTCTTCACAATTTCATGTTGCCCTGTTTGAAGTGGGGGAGTCAGCGCCACCTCAGGTGCATGAAAGTGCCCTCCGACTCCTCTGCCGACGCCGGAGATCGCTTATCTCCGGCGACTACCGCTAAAAGAGAATTGGAGCCGCCGCCGAATAATGCCGGCGAGTCCACCAAGAGGGCCAGGGTGATCAAACCGCGAATCCACGGCGATGATGGGATCGACGCCGTCAGGGAGAAGCTGATGCTTGATCTGAAAACGGAGGCTGATAGGATGAAGGACGAGATTCTGGGGAAGGAGGCCGCGGAGGAGAACGATGGGGAGGCTGTGCCGTTGCCGCCGGTGACGATGGAGGAAGATGCGCCGGCGCCGGCTGCCGGAGCGAGGACGTGGAATCTGAGGACTCGGCGAGCTCCGGTGGTGGGAGATGGCGGGAAGGGGTTGAGGTTTGAGGAGAAGAGGGCGAGCTCGTCGTCGCCGTTACGTACTCATAACGGCGCCGTCAAATTGAGAGGCTCTCCCGAGAAGGAGGAGAAGGTGAAGTTTTGTATGGCGCTTTCGAAGAAGGAAATTGAGGAAGATTTCATGAAGCTGGTGGGTCACCGGCCTCCCAGGAGGCCCAAGAAGAGACCCAGAATCGTTCAGAAGCAATTGGATGTATGTTCATTCCCAAGCCCCTTTTAATTTTGATTTTCTTTTTCTCCCTTTTTGTCTCTTAAAGGTTGAATTTTATTCTTGTTCAGACTCTTTTCCCTGGCATGTGGTTATCGGAGGTTACTGCTGATTCGTACAAGGTTCCTGAAGTTCCTGAGAATAGCAAGGTACGTGAATGCTATTTGAATCATAAACCTTTTTGTTTTGGTCTTTGATAACTTTTCCCATTTGTTTTGTTTTGGAATTTTATTAGATTGTGTGAGTTAACTGTTTGATTTGGTTTTTGGCAGAGGTAGCATTGAGATTGGCGAAGGCATTTTGTTCGCTGGCTTTGATTCGGCCGTAGGATATGGGATTTGATGATTCATGGACGTTTTGGTGTTTCCCAGTGATACATGCCTTTGTTGCTTTCAGTGCTGTTTTTGAATTTGATGAAAACACAGTTCATTATTTTGTTTTATAGAATAATTCTCTGAAGAGAGATGATAGTTCCGTATCATACATGATTCAAGTGGATACCGCACTTATCTGATTTTCTAGTTTGCCTTTGAAGCTATGTAGTTTCATGAACAAAGCTATATAATTTGGCAATTTTAAACTTTGATTTCACATTAATAGAATGTGTCACTTTTTCAGAGTTGACAGTCTAATCTCTTCTTTTTGTTTAGTCTTGTTATGTGAATTTGACTCTCTGTTTATGAGAGATTGTGCTTGCAACATAGCATTGCTCCTTATTACCTTTGTCCCCCAAATTCCGATACTTTAAAAGACTCCATATGCTTCGGAAGTGATGCTGGATTGGCACAAAATCATGGAATAGAATCACAGTTTACGTGGTCATATACTTTCCTTTGCAGCAAGAACTATAAGTTGCTGAATTGTAACTATGAATGCAGATCCTTCTGTAGCTAGCCAGCTAGTACTGTTTATCTTTTGTAGTTAGTGTTCTGTTTATTCCCTTGCCAATGTTCTCTGTTTTCTTTTGTAATTAAATCTGTAGGAAGAACTTGTATTGTAACTATAAATGCATTCTAGTTTATTTGTCAGTTCACTGTTACATTTGTATATAATCTAGTTTATATATCAATTAAAAGCCTTGCGCCTCTTCTCTTTGCTGGGGTGAAAATAATACGTAAGTCTATAAAGATGCTGTTTTGCTTGCAAAAGAGACACGTTATCAAGTTGTTTTGCTGATAAGAAAATTGAAGTGTTCAAGGCCTTAAATTAAATGGTGGCCTCGGTGATCATGCTCCTGTTCATCGTATATAGAATGGTAGCTTTTCATTCTTCCCCTCAACTCAGCTTATAATAGACTTTCCAAATATGGCGGCAACATACAGTGTGATTGCTTTTATGCAGTAGGAGTAGGAGCGAAGAGGGATAGGGAAGAGTCAGCAACCTTTATGGCGTACGCGTGTAAAAACAAAGGGATGATGTTTAATTAGGCATACAGCGTGAGGGTTTATTTTACACATTATATATTGATTTGTCTTGAGGTTGAATCTGTTGGGTCTGTGAAATGTAAAACTTGCACAAATTTGATAAACTTGAGTAAGGAAAATTAGCTTAGACCAAGTATGGAACTATCAGGTAAAGCCAAACAATTTACCACCAGTGTCTTTGGCAAATGCAAACTACCGTTTGCTGGTATCTAATATCTATCTATCTATACATTGTACTTCCTACATGTCAATTACTTAGGACAAGTTCTTTCTCTCCCTTCCCATAAATTGAATATCTTGATCATTTTTTTTTTACCTAACCATTTACTTTTGCAAAATTACTGTCCAAGGTACTGCACTACTTTATAAAAGCAAAAAAATTAAATAAATTAGTTGTATAATAAAATAAATAAATTTTATCACCAAAAATAACAATTTGTTCTATTTAAATAAATAAATTTAGAGTATTTACAATTTGCTATATTTTATTGTAAGTAAATATTTTATCATTCGTGTCTTAAAACAAATAAGATACAAATTATCATATCATGTCTATACTAATTACTTTTAGTAATTATTTAAATTTAAAATATAAATTCATGTGCATAATCACAATAATCACTTTTGTTATCATTATCATCAAGTTATCATTACTGTTATGATATTATTATCATCATCAATGTTGTCATGCTAATTATAATTTTATTTCAAATTATATCTATAACTTGTTATAATTTTAATAATTTGAGAAGCGATTTATTAGATGAAATTTTATAAATTCGTTTAGTGGATATAATAAATAAGATAACATAGTAGGATAACTTTTATCCTTTTTTATTTCTTGTGGTTGTTAGTTAACATAATATAATAAATTTATCTTATAAAATTATTGAGTCTTTTACTTTTGTATAAATTTTATCCTTCCAAGGATCTAAATTAAAATGTAGACAATATTGGATAATATAACATATTTAATTTATTGTTTTAGTATACATTAAATATAAAATAAAATAAGAGTTTATTTAACTATTGTTCTATTATACTTTTATATTCTATCACTAACGTTTGTTTACCAAACAAGCTTTAAGGGTTAATAAAAATATCTGATTAATATAAAAATAAAAAATAAAAATGTGTAATGAAATAAATATACTTAATAATAAATATGTAGGAAAGTTCATTATTTACTATTTTCTTAATTATTATTTATATTACTATCCTACTGTAAAGAGAATGTCTTGTTCAAAGAAAGAAATAAAAAGTTTAATAAAAAAATAAATTCAAAGTAGGTATAAAATTAAACTAATTAAAATGTGAAAAAACTTAGAGCATGTTTATTTTCTATTTTAAAAATATAATATAATAATTTTGTATTATATTTTATTTTTAAAAATAAAAAATTAATATAGAAAATAAATATACTCTTACTGTTTACTATTTTTTATTGCATTTATAAAAAAATTGAGTTAATATTCTATAAATTAATTATTGAATTATTCATCTCCAAGTTCTATGAAACACCTGCAATATAATCAAATATAATCATAATTACAATAAAATGTATGCACATCTATGACAAAATATAAGTTGAATTATTTAAAGCTAAGCAATATATTTTGCAATAAATGATAATAATTCTTTATTTTTATTCTAAATGTCTGTTTAACATATAGATTTGTGTGTAAATATAGAATTGAACCTATTAATTTTTCTGTTTATGTTTGAAAGTCCTTTTAAGTTTACAATTATAATTTTATGATAATTTTATAAAATATAAAATATTTAACTTTGATCATTTTTATTTTTAATCAACACTTAAAAAATTGTTGATGCCACATCTAAAAATCAAGGGTCTTTGAGTGCAGAGCTAACCTACATATTTGTTTTTTTGTTTTAAAAACAAAAAAAATATTAAAATATTTTATACAACTAGGTGGCCTTACTTGAATATTTCACTGGATTGGTTTAATTTTGACTTGGTTGAAAATGTTTTATTTTTTGAAAAATCAACCCGAACCATCCCAATCCTATTTATTAATTAGAGGATGTTAAGACAGGCTAAAATACAATGGGTTAACTTAATTAAATTGCTGTTTTAAAATAACCATTATATTACAATTATGTGTAAACTTGTTTATTTATTGGTATAGTAAATAAACTTTTAATAACAGATTTATACTTGCTTTCATTTTTTAATTTTAGATTTGATGTCTGAACAACATAAATATAATTGAATTTAGAACTCAATTTTCAAGTCATAGTTCTTTGTATCACTCAAACGTAAAATCTACTTAAAATTGTAGATTAATTACAATTATGACAAATTTGAATCTGAAATTAAAATCTAAAATGTAATTCCAATCATATCATATAAACGGATGGTAAAGTGAATTTCATACATTAGAGAAACTAAGTCTAAAAATAATTTAGAATGGATGAATGTAATAAAAGTTTGTTTAATAATTATTATTAAAATATGTCAATTGTTTTTTTTAATTATAAAATTAGTGATTTGGTTGTCTAATTTTTTTTTTCAAATATTAATTCAAAAATATAATATTTGATGAGTTTTTTGGACAAATTTAATAGTATTACAATAAAAAATTATTTGGAGTCAAAAATAAAAGTTAGAGAACTAATTTAATATGAAAATAAAAATTAGCTAACTAAATTTAATTAAAAATTAAAAATGGATTTAAAAAAAAGATTCATTCAAATAACTAATTTTGCCATTTCAAAAGGTGCGAATAATCTCGTCAGAACACATCCATCACATTATTAATAACTAGAGAATTCTCCGCACATTGCATGTATATTCTTAAAATAAAAATTAAAGTATATTGTATAATTATTTTTAAATTTGATAAACTTTATTAAGTAAATAGATAACTATAAATAACTTAAAATTATATTTTATTAACAAATTTTGAATTGTACGGATATGTTTTATTACATTAAATATAAATAAATTAAAGAAATAAATTTTAAAATTTTAAAATTTTAAAATATTTCAATTTTTAAAATTTAATGACTAAATAAAGAGAAGCTTGACGATATATTGAAAAAGAGAATAATTTTTAAAAGCATTATTTTTTAAAATCACTTCTAAAACACTTTTATTTAAATATAAAAACTCACATTTAATCAAAGTTGGCCCAAGGAGACGCTCTAAAGTTAGTTGATAGATAAATAGATATATTTTTTGACAAAATATACACTCTTAAAATTATTATAGTTTTTTTTATAGATAAAATAAGTTATTTATCTTTTAAAAATAGGTTTATTGTTATTTATGTATACATAAAAAAAAAAAAAAAAAAACATTACTAGTAAGCGTTCTTGTTATTGTAACTTAGAAGATTAAGTTTTTACTAACCGAGTGTAAGGACGCTCTAAAAAACAATCGTTGTATTACCATTATTTGTATTTTAAATTGCATTATACGTTCCACAAACGTTGTTAAAATTTAATAGGAAAATAAACTAGTGATGTTTTTTGGTTTCGGTTTTACCATGAACCAGTTATTTCTAACGTGGGAGTGCCAAAAAACTGTTCTATATCTTTTTAATTAAAAAAATCACATGTTGTCTTCGTGGCATGTGGGTGTTGTCTAAATAATTTTATTTTTTATTTTTAAAAAAATTTAAAAAATAGAAAGCAAATAAGCTCTTAATTCTTTAATTTTTTTCTTGTTTAAAGCCAATTTTTTCAATTCAACACCATTGGTCAAAAAATAAATTTTTCAATGATTGTCGAAAATGACCGAAGTGTTTCTTTAAATATTGTATATTACGATCAATTTATTAAAATTTAAGTTATGCTATTAATTAAAATGAGACATTAAAGTTTAAAAAATAATCGTCCTTTTTATTCAATTTCAAATTTTAAATATTCTATTTTTAATGTCTTCATTTCAATAATTATTGAAGTATATTGACTAAAATGAGAAATCAAATTAGATTTTCTTTAAGATGTGTTTTTCAATTACAAAATCTCTAATTTTAATAACTATTGATTAAAAGTTTGAAATATTTTTACTCATTTTAGTAATTAATATATCTAAAATATGAGTATATTTTTTTATAATTAAGACTAAAAGATTCTTTTATAGAAAAATTGAAGAAAATGTTTCGTAGTTTATGTATTTCTTGTCTTGATAGACAGTTAATAAAAATCTTACAATGATTTTATAATCAGGCCTTTGTGAGGCCCGAGCATCTAAAGAAAGTGGATGAGAACTGAAAAATTAAGATGCACCAAAGTAAAAGCCTTGAAGCCTTCAACTTAGAGATCATTCAAAATTGTAAGCAGGTAGATGAAGAGGTTGATAATATCACCGTAGATGGCAATAGCAGCCCAGATGTAGTCATCGTAGCTAAATCTTTTTATGAGGTCATTAGTGTCATATACGATGAAACCACACATTATTAGTGCACCGAAGCCAGCAATGAGCATACGCCCCGTGGGTCCAAGAGGGATAATCAACTGTTCAATGATAAATAGTCACAATAATAATATTAGAAAAAGTGAAACGAAAATTGGGAAAAATGAAAGTGAATGATCAAATGTTTACTTGAATGATTGCGAACAACAACATGACCATAAGGGAAGCAAAGAGGAAGGGTCCTAGGAAACTAAAATCGCTGCCTCTTTTTACAGCCCAGAATGTGTACATAGTCAGGCTCCCGGTCACCACACCCGTCAGCAATGCAGCCTCTAGGACGATCTTTGCTGTTGCCCGTACGTGCATGCACACAAAGAAACTCACAAGTTATTGTGAATTCAATTTTTAATATTGCACCGTTCGTACACGGGTCTGAATCTATCCTCTTCAATACTTCATTTATACCTATAGCTCTTTTACTTATATATTATTTAATTAGTGGCTAATTTATTAATGTGAAACTTTAATTATGTAATACTTACACTCTTGATATATTAAAATGTGATATCAAGAAATCATTTTCGTTAAAAGATGGTCCGTGATTAGAAAACGAAGGTGATTATACATACAACTGCGTACGTTTTAATGAAAGCAAGAAAAGAATCCCAGTATATATAGAAAGACATGGTGTATTGATTCTAATTTCTGCAGAATAATATTATAAAAACCGATTCATACCATCGACAAAAGCACAAGCAAATCCGACTGTAATAGACATGCCGAGGGTATAGAGACCAAGAAGAACGAGATTCACGGGGTGTTTATTGTAATATTTGCTCAAGACAAACAAAACTGCATGTCCAAAAGAGAAAAAGTTAGGTGCAATGATGAGGATACATATTGTTAATTAATTTCCAACGACCCATAATGAGCTTTAATAAAATATATTGGTTGAATGAAAGGGCTTACGTATGAATGAGAAAATGGCGGCTCCAAAGAACACCAAGAGGCGATAATTATTATACCTAGCGAAATCCCTTGCAACTGGAACGAAGATGAAGAGGGCAGCGAATGCAGCAGTGAAAAGAAGCTGAACAGAAACAATAGTGTAAACTTTGCGTATGAATCCCCACCGTAGCTCCGGTGATTCTATCATCGATGGATAGAGGCTATTGCTATTGCCATGCATATGTGCATGGGAGAACCCAGCCTCAATGTCACCCTTCCCCATGGCGGTGATAAAAGAAAGCCCTACACACCAACAAAATGATATATGAATATCTATCTATAAGAAATGGGTTTTCGAGGATATATGTGTTATTTCAATGTCTTTGTTGTTTTCTTGGATGGTTGCTATACTCTCTCTTTTGGTTTAAACTGAAGCCGATATTGTAATGCATGCATATATAGAAATGGTTTGGTATAATTTTAGTGTGTGGTGGTGGTGATTGGTGAAGTACTTCATTAATTTATAGCTCTTCCTCGCTGTCTTCAAACTATTAATGAGCATCGTGGTTAAAAATTGTATAAAAATGATGCATGAATAGAATTTCTCAATTAAAAATGACTAAAATTGCATGTAAATGTAAACCAATTTTACGTTAACTCTTTTAGCTGTTCTAGATCGCACGTAAATAACCGGTGAAATATAATTATCAATCGATAATAATTTCATCATCATCGATCGTTATATAATATTATCTCAATTTCTATTTATTTAATAAACAATTATTTTTATTTATCTTTTGAGGTAAATATTTAGAATAATATTATTAATTGTTATTCTTCTACTAATATCATTTGGTCTGTATATTATTTGAGTAATTTAAGAGTTAAAAAAAGTCATTATTTGAGGATAAATTATTATTATTAAGTTTGACAATTAATTTTAATAAAATAATATGTTTTCTATATAGCCTTTTTATTTTGTTCTTAATAGATAAATAAAAGCATAAGTAGTATATTAAATACATTTAGGCAGATAATTTAATTAACGGAATTTTACTAAAAATTATAATATCTAATATGATTAGTGTATTGAATTTTATCATATTTTATAATTTTTAATAAAATTTATTATATATCGATTTGTATTATGTGTCTTTAAATATATTTTTTAAGAAAATCTTTAACAAAAATATTTTATCAAAATTTTCTTAGTAAACAACGAAAAATTTATAAGTTCAACTACAAACCTTATAAAAAGAGCATAGTTTTTTTTTTGAATTTAATGAAATAAATTGAAAATGACTTATAAGAAAGTAATAAATTATTTCAAAAACTTAAATAAAATTTCAAAACAGACACATTATTTATTAAGTGCACACTAGTCGTTTTATGAATCCTATTATTTTCTGCTGCGATTTTGCAGTTATTTAAACTGGCATTCTTTTTTTGTTCTTTAAATGATTTTATGCGTTTGGTTAAAAAATGTATGGAATATTGTATATTGGGAAAGATCGTGGGGCAATTCAGCAATGCTAGAAGTTTATTATATTCAAAACTTGGATTGGATTAGACTGAAAAAATTGATTGTGAAACGATCAATATAATTTAACAGTCAGGATAAAAATGAATTTTAAAATCATATGTTAGCTATAATGCTGTAATGTGGGGCAATAGCATATTGACAGTGATTTCTTCAACTGGTAGGCTTCAACTAGAAGCATGAGGGGTCAAGCTCTGAGATATATATATCCTACCTCGAATAAAGAATTTAAATAGCATTGATACCCACTGTGCCATTCTGCATGCAAAACATGAGTCTGACATTTCAATTTCCAAATATATATATATAAAGTCCTACTTTAAGAGGGATGGAGTATTTTATAATACCAACGGTCAATGGAAAGGTATCCACTTAAATGGCATATTGGGAAGGATTTGGGCTTAAAAAGGAAGACCCATTTGGGTCAACGTGTGGTGTGGCCTCTCCAATTGTCAGAGTTTATGTGTTGGTCATGTTCAATGTTGTAAAGAGAAAATGTTAGTAAACTTTTAATTTAGACAACTCATTTCTCTGGAAATATCTTAATCTTTTAATTTGGTCAAGTTTTACTGATTTGCTTTAAATGTGACTTATCTTTGTTTTTTTTTTATTAGTATTATTTAAGCTTTAAATGTCAAAGTCTTATTTTTATTTATTGTTTAAGCTTGTATTCCATACTCGCTAGCCTGTCTTCGTTTTGATGGATCCTCTCCCCTCTTCTTATACCCTCCTGAGTTTGTTTTTACTTCGAGGCTTTTCAACTTTTTTTCCCCTAGTCTCTTTTTCTGAGTTTCAAAATTTTGATTTGTTTTAGCAAGTAATTTAATTAGTGTTTATTCAATAAGTTTTTATCATATAAAGTTTATAGTATGAGTTGAATCATAAAATTTATTAAAATAAGATTAAAAAAATTAAAAAATTATATAAAAAGCTTATGAAAAAAAATAAAGATTTATAAATTATTTTTTTATAATTCTTCAAAAACCTATTCTAACACTCCATTTCTCATACACTACACCATTTATTATTAGTTTTAATGGACCTACAACCCATTTAAGGATGTTGCTGGAACACAGAGTTAATTATCTCTTTAATGGTCCGAAGCCACGTTTGATTCAAGTGGACAATCCTTCGGTTGCCCATTGTACAGCAAGACAGCTTTGCTTGGCTAACAATTTTCTTTTCCATTCCTTCACTCACTTTGATAATAAATTAGACTCCAATGGCAATTTAACACCACTTACCATCTAAGAACGGTGCACGTCCTAGTTAGCCTTATAATGAACCGTTCAAGGGTTTAAGTCCTAGTTAGCCTTACAACCCCAATCCATTATGATCAGCCCAACATTGTCAACACATTGGCTATTAAGTCTTTGATTAGTGAATGATTACTATGCTCTCATCTAAGTCTACCTCAAATTCGGTTGTAATCAGAGTAATCTAACCATTGCATACACATGTTTACTATCTCACACTTATGATAAATATACATTTATTAGAAATGTCACAACAGACCGTATAAATACATTGTGTACCTGATAATTATAATATCAGATGTAAAAGGCGATAAACTCAATTTGAGGACCATCAACACTTATACATGGAAAAAATTCTTTAACTTAGATGTATAATTTCAGATTTCTCTAACTTTATCAGAGTGGTACTTATAAGAACACCATCTGACAAGCTGATTAAAATACAGTGAAAGACTATTGACTACCTTCATCATCTACTTAAAAACTTTCTGTATTAAGTATTTACACCGTCATTGATATTCCAGTACCACAATCCAATGTAAATAAATAAATAGATGCATAGACGTGTTATTTGATTCCATTTTATCGTGTTTCTTGTCTACAGGTCATGGAGTTAACGATTCTGTTTAAAGGACCTCAGGGAAGTTATGTCAAGGACCCCACCCCTAAGCAATAAAAGGGAAATAAACTATTTAAATAGTCTAATCTTCTATAAAGTCATTTATTGATGACTTATGTATTCAAGAATGGGCCACATTGAAAGGAAAAAACATAGATAATATTTACAATATTCTGTGAAGTCACATTAATTGGTTAAGACCGTGAATTCAAAGAATGGGCCATGTCGGGGGTGGTTACGACTTATGAACGAACAACTAAATAAACAAGCTCAAAAAATTTAAATTGAAAAAAAACTATCAATGTGTAAGCTAAAAGATAGAGGGTCATTCTAATCAATGATTTCTTTTTCTAACCTGTTCTTTTTGACTGAACTGCTTTGTCCTGATGGCACAATAAAACAAAAAGAACAAAATTAGGGGACCCATTGAACAGTTGGTTTATAATATTTATGAACAAACAAGAAGAAAAATAAAACCCTTAAAACAAGTCTTGAATCAGTGTTAAAATGAACAAAAGGCAGTCACATGTAATTATCAACAGAAAATTTAAAAAGGATAGAAGGGGGAAAAGAGCATGGGAGAGACCAAGAAAGAAGGATTCCTTGTTTACTTGTCTCCCTGGCCCTAAACATAGTGATATGCATGAATTATTTTTGTCCATTTCCATCACTCAACTGTGGTATTTAATGTTTTTGTTCCATTGCATATTAAAAAAAACTAATCTTTTTGTTCCAGTTAGGCTCACATGATAGTACATGAACCAAAATCACAGACAGCACCAGAACCCATATGCCATCAAGGATTTGATCATGAACGAGACATTTTAAAATAAACAAGTAAATAAAAACTTTCTTCTATTTCTTCTTTCTTTTAATCTTGCCATTACAGAATAATGAACCAAATCCAAAAAACCTGGCAGTGGCTTTGGGAATATATGCTTGTGGTAGATTTAAAACAGGACTAATCCTAACACCATTACCAGCACCAGAGGATCCACCATTTTTCTTTAACGAAGGTTTTTGAGACGAACTATAAAAATAATATGTACTTGAACTTGAAGAGGAAGATGATGACCTTCTGCTTGAAACAGAGGACTGTTTCTGCAACCTCTGCTTCTGGGTCTCCCTTGGAAGCTCTCTTTGTTTTGGATTCGGTGCTGAACCAGTCGAGTTGCTTCGTGATAGGAACTGTAGCGAGCGAATCAAGCCATTCCCACGAGTGGTATCGAAATTCAAACTGCTACTTCGCTTGAATTGCCAGAAATACTTGGATGATGGCTTCTCATCTTCGTTCTCTGCTTCATCAGAGGCTGCAGATAAGAACTCTTTGAGCCTCTTCTTCTCCGTACATCTAGTGTTTGCAGGTTGAGATCGAGCGGGTTCTGGAGGTTGATGGGGTTCATGTGTGGCATTGGAAACCTTCTTGATCTCCGTTGGAACAATCTTGCCATTGGAGAAGAGTTCATCAGCTGAAGAGAGTTGTTGAGCTAAGCCATTGGTGATGCAAAACACGAAATCGGAGCTTGAGTCCAAGAGGCACAGGTCTGATCCACGATGACGATCTTCAACAGGGACTATTTCATCGTCTGTGTTCTTCAGATCGTGTGAGAATGAGATGCGAGGGCTGATTCCTGCGCTGGATATCTCAGAACACACTTCAATTGCCATGGCCGAACAGGGGAACTCTGTTTCTAGGAAACAGAGGAGATAGAGTTAGATAGAAAGAATAGTGTCAAGATTTGAGCGTGGCCGCGAAAGAGTTTCAAAATTTATGAATAGGGGTTGCCGTGTTGGTTGAAATGGAAATGGGTTTGGAGTCAAAGGGAGTGAAAGAGACAGAGAGAGAGAGAGAGAAGCGCGAGAGGGGTGTTTGTGCTTGTGTGTGTGTGACTCGGGGTTAAGAAGTCAGAAATTGCAGCTTTAGCTTTTGGTCGTGTGTTGTGTTGTGTTGTTGGGTCTGAGCTTCCAAAACTGAAGGAACAATTATGCAGGCTGAGAAAGATTAGCATTGAGGTTGGGTTGCGCTAGATCCTTTTCTTTACTAATGTGTATGTGAAAGGGTAAAGGGAAAGCATAGTAAAGAGAAGCTGTTGAAACCAATCACCGAAAGGCTATAAAAGGATAAACCTTTTGGGGGTTTCCAAAGAAGCTTTAGAAATCAGAGCATCTGGAGAGTGTAATGAGAGAGAAAGAAAGGAATTGACATGCACCATGAGGTTTATTATATGAATGAGGGAAGGAAAGTGTAGTTTAGTTGAAAATATTACATGCTAATACGCTAAATGGTTGTTGTAGTATTAACCATTAACAATAACTTAGTCACCGAGATGATTACTTGCAAAGTGGAATCTTTGCTTAGAAAAGAAAAAAGCAATCATTCATGAAGTTAAGGATAACAATTTGTTAAAGTGGTGTATGTGGTTTATCAATACAACCGTAATATATTAAAATGATATCTTGATTTACTACAACAATTATTATCCTTAAAATATCATATTTATTTTGTCAATATGTAGGATCTATAATTTTACTTTTTTCTGTTAACAAAATAGCATTGTGAGACTAAGAAATTAAACAACTGGAGGTAGGAGTTGGAAACGGTAGTAATAAAACATTGTATTTGGCAGATATCCTTAGGTCAGCTAGAAAAAAGTTACCAACAAATTTTAATTCAAAGAAAACAACTGCATTTTTTAAAAATCATTTTCTACTGAAATTTTTAAAAATTTATCATTCAATCGATATGTTTGTTTTTCTCATTTTCTATATATATATTGTTCCACATAAAAAATAAATACACATCTTAATCGCCACTTTAGGTATTTGGGGATTAAATTAAAAAATTTGCATAACCAGAAAATTACTGTGTCCTCTTTGAAGAAGAGTTTTTCTTCCTTAAAAAAATCTTATACCATTAAAACATTATTGGGACTCTGTGTAAGATGTGGGACGCCGAAAATGGATGATTTTGATCTTTAAGGGAACAATAATTCTTCCTTCACTTGGAGGAAATAATTTATACTGCATAACAAACATATGGTAACATAAAAAAAATTAATTAATGCAAGAGCAAAAAAGCGACGAGAAAATCTATTCTTTATGAGTACGTATTAATGATTACACCGATGTTAAAGCACAAGCTGGGTATGTTAATGTCGGTTTTTTATTTCTGGTTCCACGTTAACGACCGATCTTATTTCCATTAAACTCGTTTTCGGATCTGGGCAATTAATCATCATCACCGTCAAGACACTACACCTCTGCAACTTTGGTTCTAATTTCCTATTTGTTGAATAATTTCAACGTTTTGATGTAGAACTTAGAGCATTGATGCTGTCCTAAGTGGTGGAAACATTTGGTGCTTAGCTAGCATTATGTGGCATGCGATGTAGGGCCATTTTAGGACAACGGGCATAGCCAGAAATGATCCTCGTCCATAGGAAATTATTGTTGCATGACTAGGCACTATCACAGGAGTACTAGTACCACACCTTTAGTACTTCTTCAAGCAATGTAAACATCATCACCAAGATTATGGTGATAACAGAATGCTTCTTCAGAGAGAAGAAGACGAACCTTTTTCACATTTGAAACACACAGTATGGCACGGAATATGATTTGATTTCCATTGCCAGTATGAACAAACCAGAAGGTGTATAATAGGACTTTGATAGAAATAGGCATCTCCATTTCACTTTTGCAAATCATTTTATTTGTTTCGACACTTAATGTTGAGATATTGCAATTTAAAGATGGCCGATTGGTAAGGAATGTTATGTCATAGGTTAAGGAATATGGATAAACCATAAATTCTGATTTTCTACTAACATGACATAGCTAGTTTGAGGAGGAAAATATGAGAATGGATAACGTGTAATAGGGTGCATTATTTACTTATTCTATGTGGATACTATGGTCATTGGTCTTGAGTCTTAATTGCAAATGCATTTGTTTGGCTGGATGGAATCTTTCTGCATGCAATAATTCCGCGGTTGACATATGCTGATTCGTATGGCAGCTACACATTTATTACATATTGTTCATGCATGTATAAATTATGTCGTGCGTTTTAAAATTATGTTAAAAAATTTATAAGGATACATTTAACTTAAAATTTTCAATAACACAAACATAAATGTAAATATAAATCTAAATACAGATGCAGTAATTTACATTAGATAAAACGAAACAGAAAAAGGAATCTGAGATAGTGGGTGGTCCGATTTGGGGGCATCCCCATATGTGTGTCAGAGTACTTTGACAGCATTGGATCATTCTTCCTCTGTTGGCACGTGGGTAATGACCATCCCGATCAGATCATGGATGCATTTGGCATCTCCATGCCATACCAATTTTTATTGTTTGGATCAATAGCCATCGACAGCATTATGAGCCATTCTGGGGGCAAAAGAACTCAGGGACACAACATAGAGTTGAATGTGAAAGTTGACTATTTGTAGCTCAGGTTTTTCTTTGCCTTGGGCTGTGCAATCCAAGTACAACAACGCCAGCTTTCTACTGCAAAAGGCAAAAACATATCCCTCTCCAATTGCCAACCTAAGATCAGTTCAATTCAAATTGACACCACCAAAGGGTAAAAGGTGTATATCTATATATATATATATATAATAGGCTGTTTGGATGCATAATCAAAATTAGAGTATAAAAAATCAGTGAAAAACCTGGTTTTAATGATTTTGGGGGAAATATTTTTTTAATCGGTGCCTAGAAATTAGATGAGCGACGAGAATTACAATCAAAATGACTTAAACACCCTTAATTTTGTTTTGAGATTTTTTTAAACTCAATAGTAAAGCTGTCCTCACACCCCTTCTTCTTCTTTTTTTTCGTTCAATCAACTAATAAATATAAATTTTTAGTTTTCTTTCTCTTCATTTACTCTTTTTAAAAACTCTAAAATTTACTTTTTTTAAAATTTATTTTTCATCCATTTTCTTCTTCTTTTTTTTCAATCCAAACACAAAGTAAGAGTAAGAGAAAAAAAATAATGCAAAAAATATATCTGCTCGTTTAATTAAATAGAAGAAAAGATAAAAGAAAATAAATATGATGTAAAATTGTTTTTTACCTTTTTCTTTACTAAACAAAAAAATAAAGGAGAGGAGTGCAAGAGGAACAATATTCATTTTATCACATTAGTTTGGATCAGATTTGCATGGAAGATAGCGGGTAAAAAAAAGAAATTATTTGATTTTATAAAATATTTTTATTTTAAATTACAACATTGTTATTATATTTTATTTAAATAATTGTGTAAAAAATAATAAAAATATAATTTTTATTATTTCTTGTAGAAAGTTAAACAAATAAAATAGAATAAGATAATATTGTAATAATTAAAAGAAAGAAAAACACTTTATAAAAATCAAACAACTCCTAAGAATCTATCTTATTTGGTTAAGGCATCAAACTAGAAGAGATGAAAACAACCAAATATATGAGTCCATTTTTTGAAATCTTTGGTCAAATGACATGAAAATAAAATATATACAAAATCATTTCCACTTGTATCCTCCTCCTTCGTTTTTATTAAGAAAAAAGGTCAAATGATATAAATAAAAGTTTGTATTATATTCATTTCCTTCATCTCATTTTTTTTAGTTGAAATAATTCAAAATTTTACTCATTTTCGATATAGTTTTTCCCTTTCTTACAATTTTTTTCCCTCTCATTTTCATTGTGTATCCGAACATAGAAGTGGTTCATTTTGTGACAAGAGAGGGAAAACTTCTGAAAATGGGCCCTGGCACTTGAAATTGACTTTAGTCAACAAAGAGTCATGCCATATAATAGGACATATAACTAAAAAGATCATCAAAGTCGGCTTAAACGTTTAAGAAACTTGTTTGCATAGGATTGTCACGTAAAAAAAACCCGACATTCAAACATACAATTTATTTGCTGCTGTATCTATAAAAAAAATATGAATAAATGAATTATTCAATGTTATAAGAAGCTTTCACACACCCAAAAAAAAAAAAAATTATGGTTAAAACCTTTGTGAATTTGTTGGAGTTGAGATTTTGTTATGACTTCGACAAGTTGCTTTTGAAGTCTTCTTAGTTTTTGCGAATGAAATATTACAAGTTGGTGATAATGTATCTTCAAGAAACTTAGCAATAGCATACTATGAGCTGAAATAAATGTTAAATAGTAGTACTTTATCTATATAATGAATAATATTTTTTAACGACACGTTAATTTTAAGAAGGAAAAGTCATCTGAAACTTCATTTAAAAGTTTAGAATGAGAAAAAAATTCAAAGGTAAGAAAGGAAAAGGGCGAAGAAAGGTGAGAGAAGAAGAGTTTATAAATTTTGTCAATTTAGAAAAACTAAAGGTTTGAAGATTTTTAAAACTGGGTTTCAGGTAAACCCAGATCAGATCTCCAGCAAGTTAAAGAAGAGAGAAATTTTCTAATTTGCATGTAGATTACTTTGGTCACTTTCAAACGTTATATAAATGATTTCTAAAACAAGTTTATTTAAAGAAAATATATCTTTATTTAAAAAAAAAAACAGTTTTCTTTGAAAAGACATTTTTCACAAAGTCTAATAAATAGTTCAGTAGTCAAATTTTTAAATTTCTTTAACTATATGAAATAATATACGTCCTAAGGGAATATGTGAATTAACCAAATGAACAATTTATTTAGAGTTCATTTTCACCAACACCCCTTCTACGTTAAGTTTTTTAACAAGAGTAAGACTTGTAAGAAGGGTCTAAAGTTTAGCAAACAAAATAGATTCCCAACCAAGTTTTTTGGAAAAATTTATTTAAAAATCACCTGGTCATCTCTAATCAGTTCCAATAAGCAGCCTCTTCACTTTGATTATGAACATATCCATCCACAATAAACTTGAATTTACAAGGAGGAAGTAGAGTCCAGCCTATAAAAATTTTTGTTTACATGTTATGTGAATTATAGAAGGATTCAAAATAAAATTAGAATTTATAAGCTGCACATAACCATGCATTTTGCAAAGAAAAATCTTTGGATTTATTATTTTCTTATTAAAAATCCAATCATTTCTATTTCACCAGATAAGCCAAATTGCAACACCAAATAAAATATTTCACTTATCAACCAATTAATATAATAATTTAACATATTCCACATTCTGGAGGCAAACAAATTTATATTTTATTTTATTTAGTATATGATATGATTAGATATCTTTGTGGCTATAGTTACCCGAAAAATTTTCATGTTGATAATTATGATTAAAAATATATACTTTAAAGTAACAATTTTAGCATTTAAGTTACGTTGAAATTATCATAGAATACATGAATTGGCTGACAAAGAGTTATTTTTCCTTAACTTAAGGTATTTAGTTAAATTCCCAATGAATTGATCTTAAATATAGATAATTAAGTATCTCATTTATTATATTAGTGTTTCTCTTAACAAATATAAATTATAAAATATAAATTTTATAATATTGTGAAGTAATGACTAGTTACATTTTTATAAGTTTAAATTAAAATCAAAATACTTTCTTGGAGCGTTTTATTATTATTATTTGGTCTGAATTAACGTTAATCAAAATACTTTCTGCGGTTAACGTTGATTAAAGTCAAAGTAATTAACTTCTTAAAAATAATTATTTCTGGCCCACTGCGTGAAGCCCAAGCTAATGAAGATAAAAAAATTGACTTGAAGCCCAAGTTGAGCGGTAAAAGTCAACCGAGGTCACTCTCTAATGACAAAAAATAAATAAAAATTGCAAGTTACTGATATTAGATACGAACGATGCTTGCAAACCCCAAAGAATCTTCAAACCGGGAATCTTAACGCTACATTCCCACCCAAACGCGAACAACAACGCGCGTCGATTCTTACACTCTCTTGTGAACATTTGCATTGTCGCAGTCAAGGCAAAGCGTAAAACCCTAAATTCTCTCACACTTTCGTCGGAATCTGATTTCGTTTTTCCGCTATAAGATGACGGCCAAGGACGACGGCTCCGACAAGGAGAAGTACGTTGATCTATTTTTAAAGATTGGCTTAGACGAACGCACCGCTCGTAACACCGTCGCCAACAACAAAGTCACCTCCAATCTTACTTCCGTCATTAACGAGGTATCCAGAATCATCCGCAGCACAATGTTCTCTTTCTATTTTCGGAATGTTTACATTTCCATCATTCACCGTGTTAATTGTTTTTGTTTTCTTTGATTTTTCGATGGTTGTTTAGGCTGGCGTTACCGATGGCTGTAGCCGAACAATAGGAATTCTTCTTTACACGGTAATACATGCCTTTCTTTGCACTTGAATTTGTGCCACACCACACGGAGTCTACAGTGCCGAAGCGAAAATTGTATTTACATTGTAATGGTTTTGTAACTATTAACATGTTTCTTGCCGCTGATTTACGTGGCAGGTTGCAACGAAGTACCCTGGGAATGCCTTGCCTCATCGCCCAACGTTGCTACAATACATTGTTTCGTCAAAGGTTTGCCCGATAGATTGTTGGTTGACTGGCATTTCTCGTGATACTAGCAGCAGATTATTTAATATTTTTATGACACCGATTATTGGTTTGATGAATTTTACTCTTGAATTATTCTACCTCTCACTAGGTTTATAACATTGCAGGTGAAAACAATGTCACAGTTAGATGCAGCATTTTATTTTCTTGGTAGCACGGGTTTGGAGAAGCTTGATTTGAACAAGTTTGAAGAAGCTTGTGGTGTTGGTATGGTAGAAATAACTCTAGTTATCTAGTCTCATGTAAAATTGACCTTAAGCTCAAGTGTTGGTATGGCAATGATGGAAACAACTCTATTGTCATATTAAATGGTCCTTAATGTTCAATCCTTTGTCTGGTTGGTAGTTTATTTTTTATTGCAGTGCCAGTTTGTTTAAGTCACTGGGAGAAATTCACCACCTTGTATCTGTCTCTTGTAGTAATGCTTTGTTTCACTTAGATTTAGTTTTGATTTTCAGTTTTGAAGGTCTTTACTGTCCTAACTTTTCAGGTTGACAAGCATACCTTAAATCTTTTGCATATTTGAGCAGGTATTGAGGTTACAATGGAAGATATTGAACGAACTGTTAATGAAGTTATTGAGGGGAACATGGCTACAATTTTAGAGCTACGCTATCGAATGAATGGTGGGTGTTCAATTTTGGCTTCTAGTGGATTTAATAGTTACTCTCGCAGATTTAATTTCTTTGAAATCAGAAATTGAAATGATATGATCTGAATGCACAATTTACATTCTGTATAACCATGCCTACAAATTTTAAATTGGAATATACCTTTTGAATTATTATAGACTGGTGCATTCTATGGATGATTAGTTGATGCTTTACTTACATGATAAGTTTCCTTTCTATATTAAACTATCAATCTATTTGATGCTGAAGAACTTCAATGATTTTTTTTATCTTGCTAGTGGGTGAATTGCTTGGGCAAGTGCGGAAGAGGATGCCATGGGCTGATGCAAAAATCGCCAAGGTGATGGCTATAAAATGAACCTAATACAATGGATAGTTGGTAATTTATTTCAGGTTTTAATACTGTTTAGTTGCTTTGCCTTTTTTCATGTGGCAGCATCTTGTTGATGTGAAATTATATGAACTGCTTGGTGATCGGACGGAAGCCGATGATGAAAAGCCTTCCAGAAAGAAGAAGGAGAAACCTGCTAAAGTAGTTTGCTTACCAATATTTTGCCTTTTTGCCTTTACTTTTTATGACATCACTTACAGGTTGTTTGCAATTCTACTTTCATGCTTCCATAGGAAAAGGCAGCACCTGTTGCTACGCCTGGAAAGGCACCTGAAGAAGATCTTAATCCATATTTGATATTCCCTAATCCAGAGGAAAATTTAAAGGTATATGCTTTCCTTATTTTAAAAATGAAATGAATTTCCATTTTATTCTGTCTCTGTTCATGTTGTGAACCCAATACTTCACTCTGGTAGTGTGCTTATGGTGTATGGAGTCATTTCCAATCTACTGCTTGTTCATGACATTTATGAGTGATTCCATGCAGTGGTCTGCTTAGTAAACTTGTTGAACATTTCTAGTCTGGGATATTGTTCTTGTCAGGCTTTTGATATGATATTTCCTTGATGTCAGCAACCAGCATTCCTGCTTCATTTTGGAATTTTGTTTCTGGATGATTTGCATTTTCAGCATGTCTTGATGAATGTTGATTTCAGGTACATACTGAAGTACCTTTTAGTGATGGTAGTATTCTGAGATGTTGCAATTCAAAGGTGCTTCTTGACAAACACTTGAAAGCAACAGGTGGAAAAGTTTTGACCCGCTTTCCACCCGAACCAAATGGATATTTGCATATTGGTCATGCAAAAGTATGTAATCTGTTTCTCATTGTGATTATTACACTAATTAATTGTTTCTTTTGTCCTGTGATTTATTATTATGTTTAAGAAAATCAACTTAATTATTGCTCAGGCAATGTTTATTGATTTTGGATTGGCAAAAGACAGGGATGGAGGCTGCTATCTGAGGTGTGTATTTTTTTTTCCTTGTCATATTCACTAAAGTGCCTATTCTTCTGAATGTGATGGAGGTTTCTCCTGGGATATGAAACATGTGGGGATTGCCTATGGGGGTGTGTTTAGCATCTTGGACTGACATGCCTGGTTTTAAGTTTGATCTTTAAAATGCTTGATGACTAGGGGTGTGTTTGGATGCATAACTTAATTTAGTGCTTATTCAACAGACTCCTTTTTAGTTTTTACGTGATGACTTGTGCCATGAATTTAACTAGAAACTTATTGTAATTAGCTGAGCAATTTATTTTGATAAGTTATACCGAGGAACTTATTGAAATAAGCTATAAAGTAAAAAGGGCTTATGTAAGTCATAAGCTATTTTTATAAGTTATCTATAAATTCTTCCAAATGAACCCTAGGTGATATAGTACAAGCTTGTAACAATCACCCTTCATTTTGTTAAAAACAAAGTCCTCTCTGGATATCTTTTGAAATTTTTTGTATACATTTTTCTGCTCATGCATAACTGCACAACACAATTCTGTATTGTATGAATGCACATAGGTTGCAACCCTTCTCTTCTGTTCACTTACAAGGACCTTATAAGTTAAAAAAGATTTTATTACATGCTGAGGTTGACTAAATAGCTGCATTATTTAGCACTTAGTAACTTGTCAACTGACTTATGTTGATGGTTTGGAGAAAACCTTGGGCAGAATTTCACCTGATTAGTTGCACCTCATCCTATTGTAGGCTCTAGGTTGGAAGGATGGAATCCTAGTTATAGACAGGATTTTGTGTAGCACTATTATCTTGAGAATAGGAAGCTGGGCAGGAACTAATGTTCCCTCTATTACTAATTCCACTTGCATACACTGACTTGTTGGCCGTCTTTTCCATTTAACATCTCTGGCACCAATCTGACCTCATTAAATTATTTTTGAGCCAAATTGGAATTAATAGTACTATAACAAATGTTATAATAAGCAGCCTGATTTGACATTTTGTACATATCTTATACAGTGATAAGTATCCATTTTCTTGTTAGGGATTGGTCATAACATTTACATCCATTTTTTTACTTTGAAATCATTAAGAACATTTAATTCCCTTAACATTTTTTTTATAAAATCAAAGTTGCATTTTAAAAAGTTTTTCATGTTTGGCTTTGCTAAAATCTTTAAACTGCCATAGCCTTTGTGAAATCTTTGTGATTGAACATGTGATATAAACATTATTGTTTGAAGTATGATGGCTTGTGGCACTTGCAGGTATGATGATACAAATCCTGAAGCAGAGAAGAAAGAGTATATTGATCACATTGAAGAAATCGTCCAGTGGATGGGTTGGAAACCGTTCAAGGTAAATGTTTTGTAGCACCTCTTTACTCTTATGATAGTTCCAACGTAGCTATTTATATGTTTAACAGCTATGTAATTTTTGCAGATTACATATACAAGTGACTACTTTCAAGAATTGTATGAATTAGCAGTGGAGCTCATAAAAAGGGGTCATGCATATGTTGATCATCAGGTTGGTATCTAAACATCTAACTAGCTTATAACTTCTTACCACAATTATTTAACATGTGTGTTATGTTTCATTGGTTCTTCCATTTTGGTGGATGTAATAAATCAGTTTCCATTTGAATTGATTTATTCAAACTGCTAATTCTGAGCCTTTTGGCAGTTTTCTATGACAATCTTAATTGCATGGATTTATACTATCTAGCCCTATTTTATAATAAATCTATGTTGTCTTGCTACACGAGGGCATCTCTTATTGTATTTTCCTTCTCCTTGTGGATGGATACTTGGTTTCACCACTATATAGCACTTAGTTTTATTTATTTTTTAAATTATTGATTGTTTTAAAAATTTCTTTTACAATGGGATTTCTTCTTTCTTTCAAATCCTTTAAAATACTTCTAATATTGTAAATTTCCTTTTTCTTCTCATGTCTCAGTCACTTATATATACTCATTAATTCTTTTCATTTTTTTTAATTTACTTTTTCTCCCTAATGTTAGACTATTTATTTTTCACTATTTTATTTGAATGAATTCTGTATATTTATCTTATAATTTCAAAACTGTTTCTTTTATTTTCTGTACAACACACACACTTAAATTATTGCATGGGGTACCTTCTAGTCCAGGAGAAAGTAATGAATATGGAATGACACTTACAGAGGATGAGATCATTACATCAATACCAAGTTATTGAATTTGTATTAAACCCTAAACCCTAAACATTTATCAATGATTTTCTGTAGACACCTGATGAAATAAAGGAGTATAGGGAGAAGAAAATGAACAGTCCTTGGAGAGACAGACCAATTTCAGAGTCATTGAAACTGTTTGAGGATATGAAACGTGGTCTTATAGAAGAAGGAAAAGCCACACTTAGAATGAAGCAAGACATGCAGAGTGATAACTACAATATGTATGACCTTATTGCATATCGAATTAAGGTAAGTGCTTAACTAGATGTGTTTGATTATTCAAAATTTCAAGGAGATAATGATTTATTTCTTATAGTATGGATGCTTTCTGTGTTTAGTTTACTCCACACCCTCATGCTGGAGACAAATGGTGTATCTATCCAAGTTATGATTATGCTCACTGCATTGTGGACTCTCTTGAGAATATCACTCATTCAGTAAGTTGTCTTTTACTAAATTCCCTACAGGTGTTAAGATAATTTTCTTGCTGGCAACTCGAGTTCACCTGTTTTTATTTGTTATTACCCATTTTCTATTTGAACCTTCAATTAGGTTGGTTAATCCTAGATGCTTGAGCTCTCCTGATTTTATTAGTATATAGTAATAGTGATGTTCCTTGTGATGATGTCTCTATTGGTAAATATGATCATATTAAGTATCTTAAGATAATGCCTTGCCTAGGCAGGCTAGACTCTGAACTTCTTCAGCATTGACATATTTATGTCGTCAGATTTAAGAAGATTATTGAGTTGGTTTTGTGTTTTAAAATGTGTGGATTTCCATAAAAATTAGTGTATAACATACATCGACTTGTGTTTTTTACTTTTTAGATTATATCAATCATGCCAAATATTAGTGTGCAGTATGAACGTGCTTTTTATTGTATCAGTTGGAGCTTTGTTGCTACAATTGTCCTATGAACTATTAATAACCATGGTCAATGCAGTGATATGATAAATTATAAACAGTCTTTTTAATCCTACTTACATTACTAATTTTGTGGTTGATTGCTTTGTCGAATCTAATAAGCTTCTTCCTGACATGTAGCACTTAGATTCCGTTAGAATTTAGCAGTCCAGTTAATGCATGGTATGACTGATAACATTTTGTGTTTATTGTTATTATCTATGTATTGCTAATTTATGATCATCTCATGCAGCTGTGTACACTTGAATTTGAGACGCGTCGTGCATCGTATTATTGGTTGTTGCATGTGTTGGGCATTTACCAACCTTATGTTTGGGAATATTCGAGGTTGAATGTCTCTAACACAGTTATGTCAAAGCGTAAGGTGAAGCCACAATTTTGCACATTGTAATAATTTGTTAAGTTCCATGTTATTATGCTTATAACTTGCCATTCCCTAATTATGGATTATTCTTTGTTGAAGCTAAATCGTCTAGTTACAGAGAAGTGGGTTGATGGGTGGGATGATCCTCGTTTGATGACACTAGCTGGTTTGCGGCGTAGAGGCATGACTCCAACTGCTATCAATGCTTTTGTCCGAGGAATTGGAATCACTAGAAGGTATGATATGAATTTGTAACTACAATTTGTTGTATAAGAATATAATTTCTAAATTTTATTATTGCAGATTTTAGTATAAGAATACTATTTCTAAGTTAGTATGCATAAAATGACTTGAAAGTCGAAACATCATGCACTTTGGTTTGTTTTAATACCTATCTAACTTGTTTTAAATTTCATTCTTGGTATATCCTTTCTAGCTATCACAAAATTGAAAATTGTGTCTATTTGTATTTGGCAATGCTTTATGATTAATCACATGTTTAACGTCAATTTCTATTTAAGTCTCTTTCTACCCCTGATTTTGTAAAGTTATTTCAGAATTTAAATTTAGATAGTTACTGAATATTCATTTCATCCATGTAACTGACCCCATCTATTGAGGAAAGGTTTGGCTGTTGTTTCTTTGTATAGTTATAAATGAATAAATTCTCTAGATTTGGTAATCAACGCTGATTCCGTAATTGTGTATTATTTTTTGGACATCTTGTCAGTTTTTGTCATCATCTCTTTTCCTGTCAAAGAAAAGGTTATAGCATCAACTGACTTTATCTTTCTTGCACTGTGTTTATAAATACAGATTTGTATCTTTTCTTTAATCCACTAGTGGGAAAGCGTATTTACTATTAAGATATTATGAAGGTTATTGCCATTTGCTTTCATTTTTTTCAGTGATACTAGTAAGCACTTGAATCGTTTGTCAAGTGAAAAAAATGAGTCTTGTGTAGTTTAACTTGCTGGTTATTAGTTGGCAAACAGTATGCCTGTGTCCACTTTGTGAAATAATCAACATTTGAAGATTACTTAAAAGAAACCATTTAGCACTCAAACCCTGATACTGGTACCCCTCTGCCACCTAATTTAATATGGTTTAACCTGGCAAACCATTGGCCTATTTTCCACTGGTGAAATAACGGAACATTTTTTAAGATCACGAAGAATAGACATATAGCACTCAAACCCTAATCTCAGCACACCTCTGCGCAACCTAACTACTGATTTTGTTGTGTATATCTGTGCTGCAGGTTTTTTGGGTCAGACTGAGCTCAAAATTAAATACCTGCCACTTTTCAAACAATTTTAGTGAAATTTAACCAAAAAAATATTACTTTCCTTTCATCACCAAATTTTGGTTATCAACTTCAATAAAGACATTATTAAAATAAAAGTTAGCTATCATTGCACAAACAGTATCAGTGAAAATGCTAGAGAGGAAAGTTGTAAATAGAATCAAAGTCTTCATAATAGTTAGAGATGCTTTATCCCAATCAGTTGATTCACTATCTATGTTATGTTCTTTGCATGTGATTATTCTTTATTCTTCTTTGGTTGTTTAGTGTATGGTGCTTGGCAAATGCACATTTGAAGTTTTATCCATTGATTTAGAGCTCATGCTAGAACAAGAACGTGTGCAGTGGTTTTGCATTAAAAAAAAGCCTGTGGTAGTGCATTATTAATTAAAATTACTATCTTCCTGTTGCTGCAGTGATGGCACTTTAATTTCTGTGGAACGCCTTGAATATCATGTTAGGGAAGAGTTGAACAGAACAGCACCTCGTGCAATGGTTGTCCTAAATCCCCTCAAGGTATATTTGTCTATGTTCTTTCGGCAGTATACTCTTTACTTTAACTAGCATAAGACTGATCGATTTTGTTTTGTAAGGTTGTTATTACTAATCTTGAAGCCAACTCAGCAATTGAGGTTGATGCAAAGAAATGGCCTGATGCTCAAGCTGATGAAGCATCTGCATTCTACAAGGTGAAATTGAACTTGTGAAAACTGATATCTTTAAGGAGTCTTAAGGTCATAGGAAATCTTGTTATGGAACTAATTTTAGGCTACTTTTTTCCACTTTTTATTTAATATCCTATTAACTTTTCAATATATTAAGCTTGATCATGGTATTACCAATTTGTTATGTTGGTGGCTTTGTGTTTTTAATTATATATCTGAATTTTTTTGTCATGCATTTGTTTTTAGATTCCATTTTCCAATGTTGTATACATTGAACGTTCAGATTTTCGAATGCAAGATTCGAAAGATTATTATGGTCTTGCTCCTGGAAAATCTGTGATACTCAGGTAAGTATAAGTTACAAACTGATCTCGTGCATGAGAAGTTATAGGTCCAATGTTCAAAATTTTCATTGTTTTGTGCAGATATGCATTTCCTATAAAGTGCACTGAAGTTATTCTGGCTGATGATAATGAGACTGTTCTTGAAATTCGGGCTGAGTATGATCCTTCAAAGAAGACAAAACCTAAGGTTTACCAAGTTTGCTAATTCTTTTGGTTAAAAATATTCAACCTAGAGTACGTAGAATCAGATTGGTGATCAATGCAAAATTTTCCTTATAGGGTGTTCTCCATTGGGTTTCTGAACCATCTCCTGGAGTTGATCCATTACAGGTCGAAGTCAGGTTGTTTGAGAGGCTATTCCTATCAGAGGTTGGCTATCTTTTTCTGGGTACTCTTTTCACACACCCACTCTTGCTTTCTACTAACATTACCCTGTTCTGTTTATTTTCTGCAATAGAATCCTGCTGAACTTGATAACTGGCTTGGCGATTTAAACCCCAATTCCAAAGTGATAATTCCGAATGCATATGGTGTATCCTCACTCCAGGATGCGAAAGTTGGGAACAATTTCCAATTTGAAAGATTAGGTACTTTACGTTGACAACTTGTTTCATATTTCATCCTTTGCTTGCTTAATATATAATTCTTATATATGCTATTCTAGGTTATTTTGTGGTCGATCAGGACTCTACTGCAGAAAAACTTGTTTTTAATAGGACTGTCACATTAAAGGACAGCTACGGTAAGGGTGGAAAGTAGGGTTCATAAATGTCAGATTATAATTAAAATCAAGGTGGCACTGGCAGTTCGGCTGGGGTAATACTTCTTCCAATAGTTACTTATAATCCATAGAATCATATTTTTGGGGGTATGTACAAACGCAGTTACTGGTCACTTATCGTTGGTACATTTATGGGCCTAATCAATTGTTCCTCAGTTCTTTAATTACTTTTGGTTGGTTTTGTAGTTTGAAGATTATATTTGTTTACTCTTGGTAAAGTAGTGTCAACATCTCTTTTATTATCCTACCACGTTACACCATTTGGATCCCAAGAGTGTACAGATTCTACAGAATGTGTTAACGAATCATTTCCCTTTCGTAAACATGCATTTAACTGAAAATCAAGCCTAGTTTTTGTTCTGTTTTCATGTTTGTGATTACAGTGATATGTATTCACTTCAAATGTTAGATTCAGGATTATTGTCTGTATAATTGAATATTGATATACAATATATGTATTATCATGAACAGGTTGAGTCGTATACATCCATAGTTGTCAGCTCCCATGTATTCTCGTTTTCATAAATATAATAATAGATAAGATAGAAATCTAAAATTAGATGGATTCTTAACTATGGTGGAGATTGGATGTCTAAATCTATTTTTTTAAGTGAAAATAGATTCGATTAAGTGAATTTTGTTTAAAATTATTATTATTACAAAAATAAGACTGGATCTTTGGTTTTTCCAGCAACTGGAGAGTATTCATATTCCATTTCCATTCATGATCTAAAATACTATTCCTTGTTTCCTTTCAAATCAAATATATAGTGCGGATAAGGTCCCGCAATAAATAGATTAGTGCCCTCTGCGGAATGATTAATGAATCCTCCAATGTCATGTAAAAAGTTTATGATTATCGTGGATCACATGTTCGTAAGGATAGGGAGACATTATTTTTATTGTCAGAGGTGCTGTAAAAATTTATCATGAGGATTCTTTTGTCGATTTTCAGATTCTCTGTAGTCAACTTATATGTAATCACTCCTTTAGATCATGATCTAAGGGTTTAACTTTTTTATTCTCATTAATTTTATTAAATTTTAACAATAAAATAAAGGGTTGAAATTTATGACTGCATGGAAAGTTATGAATGTCTTTGTCTTGGTAGAATTTATTTTGCTTTAACAGTGGGTTTAAAGTGATGTGATTCATGTTTAAGAATTTTTCTTTTCAAAGTTAATTTATAATGAAATTTAGTATAATCCTTTAATGTAATAGCGGCAATTTATAATGTCATTACAGATATCAATTTGAAGGAAAAATTGATTTTGGCCAAGAGCAATCAAACATAAAAAATATATGTTTGTTTATTATTAACCCAATAAATCACGATGCCACCTCCAACGAGAAGTATTTTAATATAAAACCCATCGTTTATACTGAAAAACATAAATGAAAATTTCAACTCATGTTTAATACATCTAATAGTTGTGAAATACGGAGTTACAAGAAAATATAAGGTTTTTAATAGAAATGACGAAATAGCACAAATAATTATAATTTTATTTTCTATTGAAAATTAAATACTTAAGATAAAATATATAATAAAAAAAACTTATTCGTCCCATAAAATAAATAATGTGAAGAATTATCCTTCATGTTCTTCCATGAGACTCACATTCGATGTAAAGTATACTAGTTTCTTATACTTGCTAGAATGAATTACAACTTGAATTTGATAGATGATAAAATATCGTTTTTATGGTTTAATTGGCAATAACGTGGAGAAATTATATGTGATTTAGTATGTAATTGACTTATTCTCATATTTTAGCATTTTATTGCAGGAATAAAAAAATGAAAAAATAATGTTTTTAGACTAGAACACAAGTCTAGTAGAAAAATTTTAATCCAACTAACGGTTTATTATTTTTTAGATAAGGATAGGGCTTTTTTTGCGAGACTTTAGGCTCTCGTTTTTATTAGTATTTTTAACTCTCCATCCACTTACTTTTTCTGGGTTCCAGAAAGCCCTCCTTAGGTTCTCTCATCTGAATTCGCCAAACCAGCAAGTTCATTTTTGGATTGGATAATGACATTTTTAAAATTTAGATTTTATTTGTTTATTATTATGAGCCGCTAAACTCAGCCAAGTAATATGGTAGATCCTATGATATTAATTGATTTTTAACGTATAATCATAGAATGTAAATATTTTTTGCCTAGTTGTCTCATTTTTTTTTTATTAAAAATTGATCACTTTTAACAATTCTTATAATTAATTAGATAAGAGACAATCATACCATTATTTTGTTAGTAGATCAATAAGGTAAGTTGAACTGATGCTTTTAGAGGATTAATCAAAATTTTGAAATTTTTATTGATTATTAAATTAATAAACTCATTAGTTTTTTTTATACTTTTATTCATTATTGATTATCTTGCATGATTGTTATATATTAATAAAAGAAAAAAACTACTATTAATGCATGGGCATTAAATAATAGTAAAATTAGAATCAATCGTTAGTTATATGGTCAAGAATTAATCATAAAAATATAAAAGTGAAAAAAAATCTAGAAATTCATATGTGAAATCAAAGTCTTAGATCTATTTATAATTATTAATATTTTGAGTATTCATTGAATTTATATTTCTTCTGCTTCTCATTCATTAATTTTCAAACTACAGTCTTATCTCCTCATTGATAGATTTTGATTAATATTTTGGGTATTTGTTGAATTTTTATTTCTTTTGCTTATCGTTCATTAATTTTTATTTTTTACTATTTCTTTCAAACTACAATCCTATCTCCTCTTTGATAGATTTAACAGATCTAATACTTGTTGGAATAGTTTCTATAAGACAATACTAAGAAGTCTCACAACATTAGAAAACTCCCTTATGTGTATCTTAGAAAAATAAGGAAAAATAATAATAATAGTAGAAGTGTTTTAAAATAAGTACCTTTAATATTAGGGTAATAAATGAATAACAAGAAGTAGATTTGATGGAGTGTCCATGCCCCATAAGTTTTTGGAGTGTTTTTTTTTTTTTTTGTCAACTGAGCTTGTTAAGCCTCACCCAAATGGATGTGTTTATTGGTCTTTTCATTGTTGTTTCAATTTCTTTCTTTATTTGTTTTCAAAAATAGTGCTTGTCTAATAATCTTTGTCAGTTGTCTTTCGTTATGCCAAACTTGTTAGGGTCCAAGTCAAAGTAGAGAAGCACATTTTTTTTAATCATTCCACCACATTTCTTGTTACGGTACAAGGTGATTGTTTAGAGACAAATATTAATAACTAATATGAGCTTATAATATGTAGTTTTTGTGCATTATCATAATATATATATATATATATATATATATATATATATATAAATACCTGTTAATTTTTTTTGGTCCAAACCTACAGGATAGAATTGAAAAAGTGATGCAAATAGACACCACTGAATTATAATACTTACAAAAATATAAATGTCACTTTCTTCATGTTAAAGTCATTACCACTGTTACTATTCTATTACTGATATCATCATCACTTTGTTACTCAGACCATCATATATCATCTCATTCACCATTCACAACCACACTCAAAATTACACATCATGAATCCATCGTGATTAACGCACAAGAACTATTGTTACTACAATGTTTACAAAGTACTATTTTTAAAAATGAAAAAAATCACAACAATTAAACTCTTCTAAAATTATGGATAATTAAGGAGTAAAAATATGGTCATTCTAAGCAAGAAAAAAAATGCTGCAATTATGTCTAAAAACATGAGATTTTTTCTTCTTTTTTATATAAATTTTATCAGAAAAATCTTATTTTTTAAAAATTGGTTTTTCCTTTCGCTTCCTGCCTCAGTTTTGGTGTATATATCAACGAGTTGAAATAGGCTGGAATAACCATTAACGTGACAGAAGAAATCATAATTTTGTTTCATTTTATTCTGTTATTCCTATTTTTATGCCCACCAAAATCAATCAGCAAACCGAAAGTTATTCTGCTGCTATCACTAGGGGCATCTTGAATCGTATACCATAACCTAGAGAACATGTATAGTTGATGTATTACATTAAGTTTCTATTCAGAAATTCATAATTTTTACAGTGTGATAATATGACGTGCATCAGTACTTCCCAAACCATGATTCCCCATCATGAGGGGGTCACCAAGTTAAAAACCTTATCCAAATCTGACTTTAAGAGTACAGCCTTAAGCTACCTTCTATCTGCTGTAGCATACCAAAATCGAATGCAGGAGAATGTTAGCATTGCAATTTTCATTCACAAACAAAAAGTTATTCTTATAGTGAAGTAAAGGATGATTCACTTATTTACTATTCTCAATCTTTTGCTTTTATCAGGCTCAATTATTGCTTGATTTGATGACACGCTTATAATAAAACTAATGAGCAAAGTTTGGGAAAATAAAAAAACAATTATATCTAAAAAATAATCAAATCAAAGTGGGGTAAGTGGATTTGTACTTATGGGCTGCAATAACCAATGAAAATAAACAAGATCACTCTTCCTAAGCAAGGGAAAGTAAAAGGCTCCCAGTCTCATTCTACCTATGGAGTTTGGTCTAGTCACGCTTACATTTGAAAGTGAGAGGGTTGATTTGATTGAAAGTAAGGGAGAATGAGTATTATTTTTCTATATCCATCTAACGATCTAATCTCTTTGGCTTTCAAAGGTTCCAATTCTCATGAATAATTAGCACATGCTTTGGTGCCACCTTTTTATCTCCAAAAAGAGTTTATAATCTGAACCAACTGGCTACGGCAACTTATCCAGCTGACACATATATCAAATATGCTACCATTTACTTTTTCTAATACTAATAATAATAAAACCAATGAAGAAAAAGATATGGAAGAGGGACGGGGAATGATGCTGTAGACTTAATAAGTGGCTCCAAAATTGAGCACGTTTGAGAAAGAATCATTCACATGTAAGCAGGACAGTTGGCGGCTTTATTGTTGCATGAGTAAAATGAGTCACTTATTTTCTTTTGCCAATTGTTTTTGACCGTGCCCTTTATTTTCTCACGAAGACTTTGAAAAAATGCATAGTAACTGTAAACAATAGCTGTGATTCAATGATTTGAGGGATGTTTCTTTTCTTGATTCATAGAACAGAAAAATCAATAAAATGAACGTAGCAGACAAGAACTTTAAAAGCAGTCTTTTTCTGTGGTTCAACATAGAAACCGCAGTAGTCACGCCCTTTGCCTTTGGCTCCATTATAATCTTTTGAGTAATTACCAAAGTGGCTTCACCAATGTTGCTTTCAAATCAGATCAATGCTCTTATTCAGTCACTGTCACACCATCATGCGCATGGGAAGCCTATGTACTGGGTTTTTCTTAGACCTCAACTACATACATCGCTGTAATTCAACTTTTCTTGTTTCGGTTGTGTCACCCCAACCGCTAATTTAGCGAAGGATAAGAATTTGGTTGGGATTACTGTTTTAAGGTCTTAGAATGACTCGCTTTGCTCAGTCAAACTTAGCCTTTCGCATTAATTTGTAAATAAATATATAAATAACTATTGCACGTGTCTTTCATTACACTCCTCTCTTAATGATTACCAGCGGGTTCATCCATCTACTACTTCTCTCACAGTTTCCAATCTAAGAAAGGAAACCTTTTTTTAAATGATATTTTCATAATTATTTCCTTTTTAAAATATTAATTTATGAATTAAACATTTTAACTTGGAGCAAAAGTTACTTCCCATGAATACATGTCAAAGAAAATTCAGTTTAATAGTTTGAGAATATTTTCTCTAGTTTTATTATCATCTTTATTTTTAATTATCAAAAATTATTTTTCTATTTTTAAAAGGTTACATAGAAAATAGTAAAGCAATAAAAGTTATTTTAATTATTTCTTTCATAAATCTTTAAGGTGGTAATTTTATAATTAAAAATAAAAACAAAACATCTTTTACGATAAATAAGTTTACAGGTGGTTTTTTATTTTTATATGATATTTTAAAATAATATATACCAAAATACAAAATTTTGAAAAAATTTATTGAAATAGAGAAATTCAAAATCACCATTGGTGCAACTGCAAGGATAAAAATAAAACAATTAAAAATTATAAAAAATC